TTTGTCTTTGGAAATAATTGGCAATCTGCTAATACAACTATAAGAGAGATTCAGTTCTGAGGGTCCAAACGAGACAGGAAGACTAAAGGATGACTCTTACAAAAGAAGAGGTTCATTTGGGTATAACACAAAACACCTGACACTGATAGAGCTTTGTCAAAGACACGGAGGAGGGAGGGAGATGACTTCCACTGGCCAAATCTGCATCATTTGGGTATTAACAAGAATTATAATGATAATCAGATAATGATTCTGAGTTTTAAAACCTAAATGCACACCTGCATTCGATGATGAAATAAATAACAAAATAGAGATGTGGACAGAATGCGAGGGTGGTTGGTGTTCCCTGTCAAGATGACAAAATCTACAGTCACCTGAGATGAGCCAATGAGCATGCATCCCTCTGTGGGGGATAGTACTTTTTATTATGAACATGTAGCATGTATCATTATTAATGATGACCTGTCCCCAACCATCCGTAAGGTCAAGGCCTGCTGACACACCTGCTATTGAATGGGTTACTTGACACAATCACACGATGAGTTCCAGGATGGCTACTAAAATTGCTTCTGATAACTTAATTATAAGCAAAAATGTTTACATTTTGTTGTTATTGAATCTAGCTTACTTATATTAAATTCCGTTTTAGAGAGTGAATGCATAACTGCTACTCTAGTCTGAACCTCCACTGTAAGCAGATTTTAAAATTAAAGTGCTGAAATTAAAAGATATTCCAGGTTGGATTGAAGTGCACCCACAGGCATATTAAGTTAAGTTAAAAGCCCAAACCAAAAACCTGACGCAAACATGTCCTGAAACCAACCACATCAAAATGTCATATCATGGGTGATGGAAAGTCATATTTTCTTTTAAATCTCAAAGAATAATACTTAGATTTTGATCCCTAACAAAAAGCTGTAACTGGATAATCATGTTCAGGTTACAGTATATGGATTACAAAAGAAGCAAGAGCATTTTATAAAAATGATCCCTTTGTCACTATGAAAATACTACATGCCACTAAATAAAATTTCTTATTATATTATTAGGGAATGAATTTGTAAATCATGGTTCATTTCCCAGTACCCACATAGTAACTCAGAACCATCTGTAACTCCCGTTGCAGCAGATCTGACACCCTCTGCTGGTCTCCAAAGGCATCAGGCACACATGTGGTACACAGACATATATGCAGGCAAAACACCAATACACACAAAAATAAAAAAGAAATATAGTTTTTAAAATTAAAAATATTCAAAGCAGTATGTGTGTGAATACTATCTGAATACTACAGTGCCGTATGTTGCCAACACTATTATAAATGTATAGAACGCTTTAAAAACTGTTAAACTCTCAACAAGAAAACATTTAGTGGCAATGAATACAGTGTGGCCTGTGACTACCTAGTGACACTGAATACTGTCAGTGGAGGCTAGCTCTGGCCTTTCCAGGATGACCATTCCTAGTATGGGGAAGCCAAATATATGTCAGGCAGGAATTTGTTCTCTCATACCCCAGCACAATGTCTGTGCCTTTCATTAATATGCTTGCTCAAGGAATGTGTAACAGATTTCCATCGAGCAATAGTGTTTCCAAACACACAGTTCCTAAGCTGCAGGGGAGTCTGAAGCAGGCCATTGTGCGGAAGGCTCGGGTGCTCACATTTTCCATCAGCTTCATTGTCTGAGGTCCACGGAACCAACCTGAATGCTAGTTCATCAGAGCTGCTTCCAGGGCAGGTGGGGTGCAGAACTGCAGGCAGCCCTCTGATTTGTCAGAGAAAGGGTAGATCATTTGTAGTTCTGCTAGCAATGCTGACTTGGTCAGGCTTAGAACTCAAAATGTTTGTTCACAGATCTAAAACCATCCAACTGTGGAAAACGCCTAACTCCCACGATACAAAGGAAAGCTTTTTGAAACTAAGATTGACATCATATATTAGTCCTTTAGATGTACACATTTTTCTGCACATTCGTACAGACTATTCTTACTGTGGAAGTGATGATATTTTTACTGCATCAAACACAGTCACTGGGAATGAAGGTTGCATGTCTATCACTCTGGTCCAGCAGCCTTAGTGTGTCAATGGTGTGATCACTGACCCAGGATTCATTGGCAGTGACAAGGCACTCTCTGGTCCCACAGTCATTGTTCTTTAAGCTTGATTTGTTAGTTTTTTTTTTTTTTTTTTTTTTTGCTTACTATTTATCTTTGAATGGTTTGTAAAGGATTATTTTTTTAGTGCCAGGAATTTCAAATGAAGGTTTCCCAATGGATAGGACAGACTACTGATATCATTGTTGCTTAGTCAAGCTTTCCAGAAGGTGACAGCAGAGCTGTTTCATCTGGGAGAGTTTAACTTGTTGTCCCTCAGATCTGGCACAAGGATCACATCCAAGGCTTGAGACATTTCACTTAATGCAGTGGTTCTCAACCTGTGGGTTGTGACTCCTTTAGGGGTCATATTTAAGATATCCTACATATTAGATATTTACATTACATTTCATAACAGTAGGAAAATTACAGTTATGAAGTAGCAATGGAAATAATTTTGTGGTTGGGGATACCTTGGAGTTTCTATTGTCATGAACAGACACCATGACCATGGCAACATTTCATGGGGTGGCTTATTGTTTCAGAGATTCATCATGGTGGGACACGACAGCATGCAGGCAGACATAGCCCTGGAGAAGAACCTGAGAACAGAGAGGGAACTACGTCTTGTTCCCGAAGGCAATTGGAAGTGGTCTGTCTCACTGGACATAGCTTGAACATATGTGAAATGTCAAAGCCCACCTCTACAGTGACACACTTCCTCCAGAAAGACCACACCTACTCCTACAAAGCCACACCTCCAAATAGTGCCATTCTTTTTGGGGGCCATTTTCTTTCACAACCACAGGGGTCATCACAACATGAGGAACTAAATTAAAGGTTCACAGCATAAGGAAGATTGAGAACCACTGTCCTAATGTTTCAGTCTAGTCTTATCTACATGTAATTCTTTCAATAGCCTGCCTGAAGGAGGTTCCAGTAGAACACTCCATTTCCTTACTGTTAATTCTAATGATTCCACACTGGTCAGTTCAGGAGGCACAGGCTTTGAGAGACTTGAAGTATAGCCCAAATGCTCTAATCTTTTTGTTTTGCTTATTTCTGTAGGCAGACTTTGTTGTCTACTATATAGACAGGATTGCACAGACTGAATAGACAAAACAAAAATAGCAGGCAGAGTTTTCAGATGATTGTTTGAAAGCCCTAAACCTTCTAAACTAGAAAGGTTCAAATCTCTCCAGTACTCGGTTTAGTTTATTTGCTAGACATATGCCACCTTCAGGTTTCTTACATTTTCTAATTCCTTTAGGGCAATTTTTTTGTTTCAAGCTCTTTCATAGCAGAAGGAAGGGATGTCAGCTGATCATCATATACATCAATAACAGTGAGGGCTGGCAAGTGTCAGAAGCCATCCAAGAGTGACTGCCGTTGATTGCTTGTGATGATGAGCTCAGTCAGACCTGTCTGCTCTCACTATCATTCAGGAGATCATTCCCAAGATTTCTTCATGCCAGGTTGAGCTGGCTGCTACTTAGAATGTAATCTGTACCAGTTCATGTGTTGGGCCCGGGACTGAATGAGAAGGGGTGAGGTTGCTGAGTGTGGGATGCATGCACTTATACCATGTTCTCTGGTTCTTTACTGTGAATGCTGTGTGACTAGACTCCTCAAACTCCTACCACAGTGGTATCTCCTGGGATGATGCACTGTAACCCTGGACTGTGAACCAAAATAAACCCTTTCCCCCATGTATTGGTTACTTTTCTTTGCTGTGATAAAATAAGATGTGGATATTTCATGACACCCTCTTGAATAGCTTTTGTCAAAATACTTTATTAAAGAAACAGAAAAGAAACCGAGACAAATGTCTATCAATAAATGTGAACACGTGACACTATATGGGAAGAATGATTTTTAACTTGTAAGAATGGGTCAGTGGAGGGTTATATGGATGTGTTGGAAAAAGCTTTATGATCTGTGTTATCTATGGTCACGCCATTTTGTAAAGCTCTTCCATTTTGGGTAAATAATAATAACTACTGACACTAAAGTAATTTGGTTTCCAGAACTAAATTAACTGGCTTTTAATTAAGTAATTAATTATTATTTTTGTTTCTTGACTTCTCTGTCTTATCCATGCTCAGAAATGACTGGGCATGAGAAACACCTGTCATCTGACATTCCCCCATTTTCTTCGTTTTCCTACCAGCTACCACTTGTAACACCAAAGGGCTAAAAGAAAACTTTCAGTCTCCTTTCTCTTCTCTTCTCTGTAACTACCGCAGACTGGTGGTGCAAGCCTTTAATCTCAGTACTTGAAATGCAGAAGCAGGGACATCTCAGGTATTGTCTCCAAAATGAGTTCCAGGCCAGACAGCCAACCTACACAGTGACAGTCTCAGAGAGGGGAGGGGGAACTGAAGAGGGGGTTGAGGAGTCCTTCCTAAAGAAGAGATTTTAACAAATTATAGCCAATTGGTTAAAATATAACAAAATTGTTGTAGGAAGAATGTGGCAGACAACAATTAAACTATGCGTTAGATTAATTTATCATATCTTTTTTGTTTTTTCAAACAGGAAAATATTCTGAGCACGTGCATTCGAATAGCTGGGATGAAGAGTCAGGAAGTTATGAAGACATTTAGAGTAAATGAAAGTGGCAAAATGCTAATGAGCTAGGTGAAGGCTACAGCGACATATTTTTGATATTATTTAAGCTTTCTTGTCGATATAAATCATTTTTACTAAAAACGCTGAAGATGCATGCGGAATGATGCTCTGGGAAGACAGGCTGCAAGTACAAACCAACTATTAGCAAACGAAGTCTAGCCCGGAAGACACCTTTCAAAACTACCTCTTCCGCCCTTCCCGCGGCTCTTTCCTATAGGCTGGTGCCAACCCTCTGCCCCGCCCACAGCTCCCAGAAGCCCGCGCGCGGCCCGCAGTTCGACTACTTCCTGCGGGCGGCGGACGGAGACCATGGATGTTGAGCCTCCTCCTTTGGAGGAGCGGCGGCGGCTGCAGGAGGAGTTGAGCGAGTTCGTAGAGAGCTGCTGCCGGACTCTGGAGGAGGTGACGGCGTCCCTGGGATGGAGCCTGGATCAGCTGGACCCCGGGGACGAGGCGGAGGCCGAGGTGAGGGACGAGGTGGCCCGGCCTTTCCGGGTCTGTGGGCTTCTCTCCGAGGGGAAGGCGCGCGTTCGGTCCGGGTCTCTCCGGGCGCTCCGGTGCGGTGCGGTGCGGTGCGGTGCGGTGCGGGGGGCGGTGCGGGGCAGGGTTCGTTGGGTGCGTGTCCCGCGGGTGCTGCTGGTGGGTTTGGCGATTTGCTTTGTCATTTGTCATAAGGATTCCGCATTGCGTTAAGAGTCAGTATCAGGAAAGCTGGAAGGACTCCACTAAGGAATGGGAGCCCGCAGCTGACCCTGAAGAAGAGTATTTGAATGAATTATCTTGACTTTTGTTCTGACGAGGTCAGGATGAAGGGGAATTTGCATTGCGCGGTGATTTCTTAACCCCCCTACGTTTATTTTGCTGGAAAAAAAAGTTTTAAGTCATACGCCAATGGAAATATTTAAGAGATGTTTGGTTTACATTTGAGCTACGCACTAATAAATTTGAAGTGGAAATTAAAAGGAAAATTGTTCCTTTACAAGTATATTTGGAGTTGTGAATTGACCAATTGTAACTCATGGATTAAAACTTAGTAACAGTGCTGTAAAGTGGATTTGGGGGAGAACTGAGAATTTATGTATTAGATAATTTATGGAATTTCCAGGCCATTGAGCAGGGCCCACTATATCCTTCTGTATCATTGTTTACTCAGCATCAGGGTATTAACACCTAACAATTTATATGTGGCACTGCATTACATAATTTAAAACTCACTGTAACCCTCTGAGTTGAGAATGATTGGCAGCATTCTGCAGATGAGAAAACAAAAACGTCAAAATGGATACACTGATACTGAATGGCAGCTGGGGTTTGAATGCAGGCCTTTTGGCCTCTGAGAATCTGGGTACTTAATTGCTGTGTGTAAACTCCTTTGTAAAATCCGTAGATACTGACAGTAAGCTGTGGAGTACATGATTATCTGATACTCAGAAGAGTAACTGGCTTAAAAAAAAAAAAACAAAACTGGAGAATGACATTGATAATTTCTAGGATAGATACAATCCAGATACTTAGTGAACTTCCATGTTTCTGCGATACTGCTTAGTGGAATACAATGGCATGGTAGAGAACTTTATCATGGTACCAGTGAGGGGGATACAGAGAAATGACAGCGGTTGTATTATTGTATGACAAAGTCTGTGATGGGTACAGTTAAAATTTTTGTAGTGCTGGTTATTATAGGCTATGGTGGGTCAGTAAATGCTTCTGGAAAAGTATGTTTTAAAAAATTTTGTGTGAGTGTATGGGGGTATGGCCTGGGTTATGGCTCATTGACTTTTACCTTGTTCAAGGTCTCTTGTTGTCTTGATACTGCATACACCACCATTCTAGCTGGTCTATGAGCTTCTGGGTATTTTCCTGTTGCTCTCCTGTCTCATAGTGGGGGCACAGACATTGCAGATACATATTAACCATGCCTGACTTTTGCATGGGTTCTGGGAATTTGAACTCAGGTCCTTATGCTACTTTTACTGAGTTGTCTCCCTAGCCCTGCCCACCCCCCCCCCAAAAAAAATTCAAAGCTGAGAAGTAAATAAGTAGAATTGGCTAGATGAAACACAGAGAAAGCATTTGCACATGTGGAATTACAGGCTTAAATGATAAGATTAGAGAGCTTTAAGTACTTATGGGTGACTAGAACATTAGGAAGATAGCTTGTGGCCAGGCATACTGGTACACACCTTTAGTCCCAGCACCTGGGAGGCAGAGGCAGGTGGATCTCTGTAAATTTGAGCAAGCCTGGTCTACAGAGTGAGTTCTAGACCAACCAGGACTCCTTAATATAAATGCAGAATAGAGTGATGATAGGTAGGTGGTTAGAGCCTAAAGGTCCTTGTCAGTCATACTAGAGAATTTTGTTTTATTGTTGTTTGTTTTGTTAAATAAGGGCAACCCACCATCTTCAACCTCAAAAATTAACCTAATCAAGATGCTTCTCCATAGATATAGATCCAGAGGCTCTAGGTGAGTCTAGATTTTATCAATTTGACAACAAAGATCAACCATCATACAAATCATGAATATATTACACTTATTTTTGGTACAAGGTACTTGATAATTATTAAAAGGTTTAAGGAACATTATTGTGTGTATTTGATGTGGGGTAGGTCAGGGAAGTTTTTGGAATCATTTCTCTCTTTCCAAGTTTGTGTGGGTTCCAGGAATTGAGCTCAGGTCATCAGACTTGCTTGGTGAATTCTTCACCATCCGAGCCACCTTGTTCCTCGTATAAGGTACCCAGGAGAGACACATGATTTGGGAAACTAAAGTATAATGAGAATTGAAACCAGAATATTGCTAGGAAAACGTGCTATCAAATGACAAGAGGTTAATAATTACACGAAATATCAGTATTTAAAAGGGGCAACTGCAGGAAACCAAATAATAACCAGAGGGGTAGAAACATTTATCAGGAGCTAGATGTGGTGACGAGTGATTGTAAAACCCAGCACAATGGAGGCTGAAGTATGAAGACAGTCATAAGTTCAAAACCAGCTTGGGCTACATAGCAGGAGCCTGCCTCATAAACAAAATAAAACATGGGCTGGGGAGGTCACTGAGTTGATAATGTGCTTGCTTCTCCCCAGAACCAGCAACCTTAGTACTGGAGCCATGGGGGCTTGCTGGCTAGCCAATCTTGCCAGATTAGGTGAGCTTCAGATTTAGTAAGAGACCTTGTCTCAAACAATAAGGTAGAGAGTGGCTGAGAAAGACACCTGATATGGATCTCTGACCTCCATATGCACATTTACACATGTGCCCCTATATACATGTGTACATACGAACAACAAAAGAGAGAGCAAAATGTACCAGGAGTCCCAGGACCAGGAGCTCAAATACAACAAAGCATGTTTTTTGGCTTCAGTAGTGGGGAGATTGCTGGTGCCAGTGAGGCAGTGATGGCAGATGTATATAAGTAAACTTTTATCAATGGCTGTGAGTCTGCGGAGACAGTGAATCAATCATTAAGGAAGTTAAGCTCAGCTGGGTGATGATGGCGCATAACGATATTCTCAGCACTCTGTAGGCAGAAGCAGGAAGATCTCTGTGAGTTCAAGGCCAGCTTAGTTACAGACTTAAGTTCCAGGATAGCCAAGACTACACAGAGAAACCTTGTCTTGAAAACAAACAAATCAGAAAAAGAGGAAGTTAAGCTCTGAAGGCTGGAGAGAGGACTGAAGCTTTAGACTGATGCATTGAGAGAATTCCCCTTTTTTATAAACACCCACATTGAAGGGAGTGCTACAAAAAAGGAAGTACTAGATTATTGTTTAAATACTATTTTCCTCTTTCTGTTTGATTTTTGCAGGATGAAATCACGATATGCCCTTATGATTCCAATCATCATATGCCTAAATCATCACTAGCAAAGCACATGGAATCTTGCAGATTGAGAAAGCTGGGTTATGCTAAAGAGGAAGAGGTAACACTTGTTTATTACATCATGTCATGTAATTCATATAATTAGTTTATTACATCGTGTCATGTAATTAGTTTATTACATTGTCATGTAATTAGTAAGTCAGGCGAGTGTATTGTGAACCATTGTAGAATAGATAGTGCTTTGCCTAACTTCACAAATTGTTAGATATTTACATAGTAGTATTCAAACAACCAATTGTGCAGTTCTTAAGAATATTAGCTAAAGTTTCTGTCTTGTTTTTTTTTTTTTTTTTTCTGTCTAGGATGAAATGTACAATCCTGCTGTTTTCTATGAGAATTTGAAGATTCCTTCAGTTACTTTGAGTAAGTATATTCGATTATAATAGAAAAATAGTCAAGTTTTTGTATTTTTCTGGAGCAAAAGAACGGGTATTGTAGACATTCTTATGATTAATGATAATAGCAATTAATATACAATGAAGATAGTTCATGTAATGTAAAAATAGGACTGGGCTTATCTTAACAGGGAGTGAAAATCCTGCAAAATTTTGTGTGGTATAGACCAGGCATGGTGGCACACACCTTTAATCCGCACTAGGGAGGTAGAGGCAAGTGGATCTCTGTGAGTTTGAGACTGGTTTACACAAGTTCAGGTGACAGGACTGTTACATAGAGAAACCTTGTCTCAAAACCAAACAATTTTATAGTAGGATGCATACCTCCCTTCTTGGTTATAACAAAACTATGACCATACAACATTGACCGAAGACTCAAAGGGAAGGTAGGATCATGATTCATACAATGTGAAGATAAGTGGAAGATGGGAATGGGAAATGTGTTCCAGTTATTAGTAATATATGGTGAAATCTTGATTGACCTTTAGAAGCAAATGTCCTGATTCAACTTAGATATGTAACTTTTGGTGAGATATTGCCCAATTTATTGCTTACGTTTCATTTTCTTTTGTGGTACTGGAGACTGAACCTAGAGTTTCTTATTTGTCAGGGAAACACCCTGTAAAGATTATGATAAATCTAATACACTTCTAGTGGTGTCTGGACTCTTAAGAGATATTAGTTGCTTGTACCTGCTAATCCTGAACGCCTGATTATGTTTTCTGAACTAATTGGAAACTGATCACCTCTTAGGCTGTAGCTAGCTCAGAAAGAATTCTTATATAGGCCATGATTCTGGTTTTTCTTTTTCAGATAAGGACTCACAGTTCCAGATAATTAAACAAGCTAGAACTGCAGCTGTGAAAGATGGGGATTGTTATACTCCAAGTAAGTGTTCAGCTAAGTGGTGAATCAAGATACTTCTTTTCTCTCTCATATAAACATGATACTACTTCTCAAGAAAATCCTTGTGAAACAGTTACTTTGGAAAAGGATCAGTTTTACACTTAACAGTGGAATAGCTTACATTGTTTCAACTTGATTATTAGCTATGTCCTGTTTAGATAACACGGGAGGCTCCCTCTAACACCATCTCAGCCAGGGGTGCTGTTTTGACATTAACTGATAAGTGTGATTGCCTTGTGGGTGAGTTTTTTTAAAACCAGATTATTTAGTGAATAAGTGTATTAGATAAGGGTGTCTTGTTTTGTTCTGTTGGGGTGTAAGTATCTGACCCTGAGAGCTTGAGAATATTGAAATGTACATGCTGCTCAATGTGTAGTCTCCTTTGCTGCTCTTAGAATATTCCCTCCTAAGTTTGTATTTGTGACATCTGAGACATTGAATGCCCCAGGAAAGCACAAGCACGGAGGTTTACCTCCCTTTGTCTTAGAGGGCTTGTGAATTCTCATGTCCAGCTGAGAGCTGTTTTAAAATGTTTCTGCCTCAGAATTTGACAGAAACTAGAATTAAAAATATTTTTAACTATAAGCTGAAGAACAGCTTCACCCCAACAGAAGGAAGAAGGAAGGAAATAAGGTAATAAAGAGTTTTGATTTTTGAATCTGGGTGTGACATTTAGTCAGAGCACAACTGGCTCCTCTTACCAAGGTTGTCTTTCTAGGCAGGCAGGCACGCACGCAGGCATGCACACATACATGCATGTTGGTGTCATCATGCAGATTTTCTCCTTTCAGTCTTTCCCCAGAGGCCATGTGCCACTCTCTAGACTTGGTTTCTCCTGAGTTGTACTGTAACTTTAGAAGGAAGATTGTTTTGTTTTTAACCTATATCTTGTGTTAGTTACTTCCAGTAGCCAGAAACACATTTTTCATTTGTTTGTGTGTGGTGGGGCTTGGCACATGAGGTGCTATAACATGTAGAGGTCCAAGGACAACTTTAGGAAGTCAGTCCTCTCTTTCCACAGTGTGACTTATGAGGGTTGAACTCATGTGGCCAGGCTTGGTGACAAGCCACCTTGTCAGCCTAAACACTTTTCTTATTTTCTTTCAAAGTTCCCACTTTGGTGCCTATTGGCTTCAACTCAGCTTTCAAATTTACCGATTCCTGATTTGTGCTTTGAATAGACCAGTAGTAGAATGAAATTTTTTTTTTTTAATGAAGTTTTTTTTTTTTTTTTTTTTTTTTTTTTTTTTTTTGAGTGTCTTGACTTTTAAACTCTTAGCTGGTTTAGATAGATTAGTTTGTTTTGGAGTTGAAATAGTGTTTGGATCATGCAGTCCAGTGCCTATATTTTACAGATAGGAAACAAACTGGCTACTAGGGGCAGTTTGATCAAACCCTTGTGTGTGTGTTCACAAAGCCTTTGGTGGTTTTGTTCTCTAATAAGGCTCTCCTCCTCTGTACCTTCCCCGTTTGTTTCTTCCAGACAGGATCTCTGGCCTGGGCCCCCTCAGTCTGACAATGCTCTTATTTCAGCCTCCCTTGTGAATGTTGTACGCCCTACACATCCAGCTAACCCTTTTATTTTTAAACTTCTTTATCCCAGAGCTCTTTTGCATGTCTCATTTCTTTTTTCCAACAAACTTGTGCTACATTAGAGAATTGTTTTCCCCTCCATATATGTGAAGAAACACAAAGGGAAGAAACTCACCTTTGCTGGGTAGCAAGCAAGGCTGCATCCAGAATGAAAATCTGTCTTGTGTCACAGGCTCTCCATTGAGTTCTTCTATTTTGGGTTACAAATGACCTTCATATAGTCATAGTCATGGACTGGGGTTCTTTTTGCTGTTCACATGTATTACATCGTTGTGAGAACATCAGACTGCACACACATGCTCATGTCAGTGCTGCTCACATCCAGTCTAAAGTAAGCCTACTACTCACCCTTGCTAAGTAATTTGTGTTTGCTCTTTTGTGTAGTAGAACAGTTATCTTTTGAGAATAGATCTGGCAAGTGCTATAGTAATTAATGTGCATAAAATGTCAGCCTGACATGGGTGAGCTTTATATAAGTAAATGATTTAGAAAAGGCCCAGGGTGTGAATTTATAGAACTAGACATTGAGCTCAGCTCAACACAGAAACAGTTGTGTTGGGTTTTTGGGTATCGGGTATTGAATTACTTTGAACCCAGTAGAGAATCTTACTTGACTTTGAATTTTATTTTAAGATTTGATTGCTTTGAATCATTATTTTAATGTCCTCTGTAATCTTTTAAGAATGTGTTTAAATCCCTTGTAGGGATCTGCATTGTTTTAAAATTAGGACTGTCTTTGTGGTCTACTTACATCTTAGATATTTTCACTTCTGTGTCCTGAGGACAAAAATCTCTTTAACCACCTTCTTATTTATTTATGTGAACATGAAGCAATATGCATTTCTTCATCTTATTAATAGTTTAAGATGTACTAGAACGGAAGTCTTTTGTCAGTGAATGTTTTCATTGTGCCTGTTGTGTCAGACCTAAGCTCTGCTGACCTCCACATGATGGGAACTATGTAGGCCTAGGTGTTTATTGTCTTGTGCAGCTATTTTGACTGCTTTTATAACAAAGATATTAGTTTTGATCATTAGTAGTAATTTTGTACTTAGTGGTTTATTTTTTTTCTTTCCGATATTAAGCATTCATGTTGTTGTAAGTTTCATGACACATATTTGAGACATGGTGAATAATTTGCTATCAGTGTCCCATAGAAGAGCCTTGGAGGGATATTTGGGCAAGTTAGTTTTCTCTCGTGGACCTTATTTTTCTTTTTATTTAATGTCAGGGACTGTCTCTGTGGAGGTACCACACTGAGACAGTTCCTATTACTAAAGTACATTTGTCATGGGTAAGTTTTCCCATGATGGAATGTGCATTAAGGTAAATGAAGTCTGATTTTGGAATAGAGAATTCTTGAGATGGGACTAGGTGATGGGTGCATATGGTGAAGTCTGGTCCAATTCTCTGACCTGTGTAAATAAAATTGATAAGAAGGATGAATTGTGTTTCATTTATATTTTACCACAATTATAGAATGCATGAAGAGGACATAGACTTACGGCACATAAACCATATGGAAACTTGCAGTTTGAAAATTTGCACTTCCTATATATAAAGCTTGCTTAAGTGCGCTTGTCCTTTTTTTTTTTTTTTTAAATCACAAATAATCTGTTTTGAGAGATTTAAAATGTAGTTTGTTGCTTAACCTTTTTTGTACTTTTTCTTTTTCAGTAATTGTGGTGAGTATAAAGAGGAATTAGGAACCTGAATGTACTTCTTATTTAAAGATATGCAGTATCCTTTTTGCAAATGATATCCTTTTAAAAGTATCACTGAAACTTCTGACTTTATCTCAATACCTGTCACTCTTAGAAGTCTTGGTTTGGAATTCTGATTGCATATATAAGTTTAAGTATTAGTTTCTATCATAAAGAAGTTTAAGATTAATGAATAAAAGAGAACTTTGAACTTGATTATTGCACTGTTTTCTAAATTTTGTATTTTTCCTCTCAGATTTTTATAGCTGATATTCAAAGGATTTAGGCTGCCAAAGCCAGTTTTATGTTGTATATTATGTTTAACACCTGCCTACATAGTCTTTTGATAGTGCTTCAGCATCAGAGTGATTGGCTGATTTAAGAGGGATTCCCACTCATTTCGAACCCCTTGTAACAATGTCCAGGTGTCATTATCTGCATATGTTAAACCACAGCCTCAGTGTCACTGAGCTGTCCTTAGCTTGTGGAGAAGGGCGAAATGTGAAGTCATTTCCCCCCCCCCCCTCTGTCTTTCTCTCTTTCTCTCTTTTATAAGCTTAGTTCTGTGAATGCTCTTACTTGAATTTTTCTTTTGCCTCTTATCTGAGATGTTAATGAGGTCTGGGGAGAGCTCCTGTTAACTCCTTTAGGGTGACCTAGCAAACGTTAGCATTCCTTTAGTACTGATGTTCTCTTTGCAGTAGGAAGACTATTTTCAACTGCTTTGTTTACAATTACAACCATTTTATTTCTTTGAGAATGTTTGAATCTCAAAATTTTTCTTCGATGTTTTAATACATCAATCATATCAAGGTATTGTATTTATTTATTGTTTGTTCGTCAGCAGAGTTTAGAATGATCGTAACTAATTAGGTGTGCTGCTGCTACCTTTTCTATTTGGTTTAGTTAAGCCAGCATACTTTCTCTTTTGGAAATTAAAACTAGTTTAAATAATATTCTCCTGGTCTTAAGAACTTTAAGATTTCTACTTTTAAATAAAACAAGTCTCACTGTGTAGTCCTGACTGTGATCTCCTTAATCCTGAGAGCTAGGATTACCAGTATGTGCCATCATACATGACTTAATTTACAGTTTTTGATTCCCTATTCTAGTCATTGCACAGATGTAACGAACTTGAGTATTGAATGTCTACAAATGTTTCATATGAGCTTTTTTTTTACACATATTGATAGTTCTTTAGTTTGTTTTCAAAAGGACTAAAAATGTTCATTGCCTACTAAAATTATTTTCAGCTTTTATGAGAAAAAAAGGCATATCACAGAAATAATCCCTCCTTTTGTAATAAAGGTCATTCTTAAGTTATCCAGAGGCTTTCTTAGCTTGTTTCTGTGGCTTGTGCCTCTAGTCCTAGTGACTTGGGAAGCTGAAGCAGGAGAATCCTTCGAAGCTCAGAGTCTGCATCAGCCTGGCAAACATGGCAAGACATCGTCATGAAGGGAAAACAGGCTTTCTGATGAGCAAGTCATTTCCTGTGGTTATTACTGCCTGTGTGGAGAGAATAGCAGACACCCATGGACATTATTTTTTACCACATCCTTTTTTTGTTTGTTTGTTTGTTTGTTTGTTTTTGTATGTGAAAAGTAGCTTGTGTTAATTTTTCATTCTTATAGTACATACTTAAAGACTGTGTAAGTCTACATGCATCATCATTTACTCTTGTCTTATTTTCTCTTAGGAATGTATTCTTCATTGCCTGTTGAAGTTCCTCTGAATCACAAACGATCCATTTGTGACCTTACCCAAGCAGATCGTCTTGCCCTTTATGATTTTGTTATTGAGGAGACAAAGAAGAAGCGATCTGGTTCTCAAGTCATAGAAAACGACAGCGATCTGTTTGTAGACTTGGCTGCTAAAGTCAATCAAGGTTTAAGATGAATATCATTCTTTACATTTCTTGGCATTCTGTCTTATGAGTGTTAGTAAAGTGATTTCATTTTTGTGCCACTTGAGGTGGGGTAAGGTGGTTTTTGTATCATCTTATATTGACATTATTAATTAATGGAATTACTTATGAATGGAGTTTTACTTTGACTTCTACTATAGTTCCACCTATAAGAATGGTACTTTTATGTAATCTGTGGACTTGAACAATTCTATGTTTACCTAATGGGTTTTTTAAAAAAGTGATTAAAAATAGCCTGTTTGTATATATAATGTAGAATATTTTGAAACTTTTTGTGTGTTACATTGAAACATACTGAACAGGATTATTCCTAACTATAAGTTCTTAATTTTAAAGTGAGGATAGTGAGGTAGATCAGTGGTTAAGAGCTTGTAATGCTCTTGCAGAGGACTTTGGTTTGGTTCTCAGTATCCCCATTGTGTAGTTCATAGCTGCCTGTAACTATTGCTCTAAGGGATCAGATGTTGTCCTCTGGACTCTACAGACACCCTCATTCACATGGACAGACCCAGAAACATGCATAATATAATATATATATATAGAGTGTGTGTGTGTGTGTGTATGTATATATATGTATATACATATATATACATACACACACATGTGAATTTAAAAGCTTCTAAGGATATAATAATTTTATTCTTCCATTAGATAATAGCCGAAAAAGTCCCAAATCTTACCTGGAAATCTTGGCAGAAGTGAGAGATTACAAAAGAAGACGCCAGTCCTACAGAGCCAAAAATGTTCATATAACCAAAAAGTCATACACTGAGGTAAGTGTCACATAATTTTGCAGACTTGTGTTGAAAATAAAAATTTCCCATAGTTTTCTAAGTCTGTTTGGAGGTTTTTCTGAAGTGTTCTAATCCTTGGAGGTTTTCCTGAAGTGTCCTGATTTGGTAGAGCATAAGACTCTTAATCCCTTGGTGGTGGGTTCATGCCCCACATTGGGTGCCAAAATGTAAATGGAGTTTTTAATTGGTCTAAATAATGAAAACTCAGAGTCAGATATAGAGGAAAATGCTGAGAGACCAGAGAGAAGGAGCAAACCACAGTGATACTTTACCTCCTTAGCATCTCAGCAGACAAAAGGGCGAGTTTCTATTTCTCTAGGCTTATATCCACTCTCCACCCAGCCATCTCACTTCCTGTCTGCCTGTACAGACCTCCAGACCTGTATGGTTAGCTAGTGGCAAGCTCTATTCTCTAACTTTCAGACAGGCTTTATTTGTACAAGCAAGATATCACCGCAGTGCCACACCTAGTTTGTATTTGCCCAGTGTTCACAGGCCACCTCTTTGCCAGACAAAGGCTTTCCTAGGTGCTAACATCATCTGTGGAGATTGTGTAACCTTTTAAAGACACTTCTTTTTGAGAAAGTGTTGTCATGAGAGTGTAACTTTGGGCTTTCACCTGTCCTTGGCTTGAGAAAGGGTGGGTAATGAGTTGAGGCTGGCTTTCTATATTGTCCTCTCTGTCCTGGAACTTGCTATGTAGACTATTCTGGTATCAAATGCACAGACCTTCCTTGGTTGTACTTCCTGAATGCTGGAATTAAGGGAGTATGACACCATATTCCTTGACTTGAGTTGACTCTGCTATTTGTCATTGACTTGCATGAGTTATTTGAAATTTTTTATTTTAAGTTTTTGAGATTTTTTTTTTTATTTGTATGCTTGTGTGTGTGTGTGTGTGTGCATTATGTGTGTTTAGGTGCTCATATAGGCCAGAAGAGGGTGTTGGATCTGGAACTGGAGTTACAGATGGTTGTGAGCCACCATATGGGTGCTAGGAATTGAAATAGGACCTTTTGAAGAACAGCCAGTGTTTGTAGCACCCCTGAGCTTTCTTAGGTTCTGGGAGAAACCCCCCCTCCTTTTTATAATAGAACAACCTTTGTAGAATTATCATGATGATTAATCAGTATAATACAAACCCTCAGCTGGGCAGTGGCAACACACACGTTTAATCTGGGCACTAGGGAGGCAGAAGCAGGTAGATGTCTAAGTTTGAGGCCAACCTGGTCTATAGAGTAAGTTCCAGCACAGGCAAGGCTAGTTATACAGAGAAACTCTGTCTCAGAAAAAGAGAAAAAGAAATTCCTCAGTAAATACCAGCCATTAGCTTTTGGAACTATCGAAAGTTTTTCTGAGGGAGGGAAAAACCAGTCAGGTCTGAACTGTAGTGGTTTTCTCTTTGTTTTTCAGACAGGATTTCTCTGTGTAGTCCTGGCTGTCCTGGAACTCACTATGTAGCCCAGCCTGGCCTTGGACTCAGAGAGATCGACCTGCCACTGTCTCCCAATTGATGGGATTAAAGACATGGGCTACTTCATGTGGTCTTTCTTTGGTAATTGCCCCTATTTCCTATACTTTGAAAAATTTCCTTGGCAGGCAGGAGAGAAGTGTCAGTTCTGGTTTGGTTTTATCTGTCTTCCATGGGACCAGTCCTGTGCTTGATCGTGTGGATAAGATAGAAAAAACCTTCAAGTGTGTGGACTTGACTCTGGGGGAGCATCTGTGAAGTAACTATAGTATTTCACACTCTGTAGTATTTTCACACTCTTGGTTTAGTTATAAGATTTAAAAACATGTTTCATACAGAAGTTCTGAGACTAGGAACAACAATAAGAATTCTGTACAACTTTACACTTGTGAGTGTTGTGCCTTGTACACTCACCATTTCCATCCACCCCTTCCTTTTTGTTCCTTCATTCTTTTTTTAATTTTTAAGAATTTTACTTGTAACCTGATGGGTTTCATTCTGATGTTTTTATGTACATGTGCCATTATTCTTTGCTCTTATTCACGAATCTTCTGTCTTCTGTTGTCTCCACTCCCCTCCCCCTCTTAAGCTGGTTCCCCTCTTTCACCTCAAATGGTCCCTCCTTCTGCCTTCATGTCATTGTATTTCTTTAGTCTATCTCTATATCTGCTTGCCCTTTCTCAGTAGTGTTTCACCGTGTAGCCCACGGTATTCCAGAATTCTTTTGGGATTATAGGCATAGTTACCCAGCCACCATTTTTCCTTTCTGTACATCTTTTACTATTTTGTATCTGTACATTTTTTTCTTGCATTATCCAAGAATAAGTTCCATACATCATGATTCTTTATCCCAAAATAGTATATGTGTACTTCCAAAGAATAAGGCTATTTTCTTCTTAACTAGTCATAACAAAGCTCCAACTTGAAATTTAACATTGAAAAAATATTGCTATCTACCATTTATTCATTAGTGTGACTAGTGCCTTTTTTTATAGTCCCTAAATGCATGCATCTCATAGTTCATTATATCATAGCCCTTAGTAAAAAAAAAAAAAAAAAAAAATTTACTTTTAATTACATGTTGTGTGTGGTTATATGTACATGAGTGCAGGTGCCCAAGGAGACCAGAAGAGGGCATTAGATCCCCAAATCTTGAGTTGTAGGTGGTTGTGAGCCATACCACATGGGTGTTGAGAACCAAACTTGGGTCTTCAGAAGAGTGACAGATGCTTTGAACCCTATTTTCTGGTTTTATGATCTTAAGGTTTAGAACAGCTTCCTTATCTGACATTTGGTTTTACTTCTCCCAAGGTAATTCGGGATGTGATAAAGGTGCACATGGAAGAACTCAGTAACCACTGGCAGGAAGAACAGGAAAGAGCCGAAGATGGTGCTGAAAAGTATGTCATCGTCGTTACTGATAAAGCACTTGCTTATTTAATTTTCTCATTGTATTGAGCTCAGGGCCATGCATTTGCTGTGTAGTGTGCCCCTCGTGCTATACATTGTATGTCTGGTTCACAGTAGTATCTTTTTAATATGTCGTCTATATGAACTGTTTAACCATAGCGTTTCCAAGACTCTGGTAACATACTGTGATTCATGGTGCTTGATTATTGAAGGTGCTCAGATTACTGTTCTCAGAGTTGTGATGTTGCCAGGCATAAGGATGTACAACCATGTTAGGGAACTAGAAGTAAGCACCATTATAGGGGCTGTTTGTCTGAATGGTATTATGCTTGTTTATTTACACCCTAGCTGCCATTGGTGTGATACAGAACATTATACATTAGGTCTGAGCATGCAGTGGAGAACGGAACTGATGGATGCCCCTTTCTGTATTTCTTTATTACAGGAATGAAGAAAGGCGGTCGGCTTCGGTAGACTCACGGCAGTCTGGTGGAAGTTACTTGGATGTGGAAAATTCAAGACATAGAAGGGCTCGGAGTAGGAGCCCACACAAGCGAAAAAGAAATAAGGATAAAAATTCCGAGTCGAGAAGAAGGAAAGATAGGTGAGTCTGTCTACCCCCGAATTATGCATTATTGTTGACTTTGTTGTATAATGCAGGAAAATAACTTGGAGGAATAAGTTACAGAAGGGGAGGAATTCATGTAATTCTTCAGATTCACCATTACTTGGTTCATAACTTAACCCTGTAGAGTTGTGGTTCCTAGTTCTCTGTGCATGAGAAAACATTGCCCTCCCCCAGCCCCTTTTCTCTGTGGTATTGGAAATGGAATTTAGAGGCTCATGCATTGCAGGCCAAGTGCTCTACTACTAAGCTCTAACTTCAGTCCTTTTCCTTTTTAAAAATTTGAGACAGAACCTCACTGTGTTACCCAGTCAGGCCTTGAACTCACTAGAGAGTCCAGGCAGGTTTTGTGATCCTCTTGCCTCTGCCTGCCAATTAGCCTTGTATAACTAGATGACCAACTTGGTGTGCCTTCCCCCCCCACTCCGCTTGTCTTCCATCTTTTGTTTTTTTTCTCCAATCACTTCTTAACGTGACAAATGAAAGTAATGTCTAGGTAAGGTGGTGTTAAGATATTTGCTTAGATCTTTCTTCTGTTTGTTTCTTAATTTTCATACAAATTTCCCAGTTGAAATATTTTTAGAATCAGACACATCTCTTTTATTTTATTTTATTTTATTTTATTTTATTTATTTATTTTGGTTTTTTGAGACAGGTTTCTCTGTACTGGTTTGGAGCATGTCCTGGAACTTGATGTGTAGACCAGGCTGGCCTCAAACTCACAGAGATCTGCCTGCTGGGACTAAAGGCATGTGCCACCCATGCCTGGCACATCTCAGTTTTTATCAGTAAATTTTACACTTTACCCTTGGTAGTATAATTTTGTTAACTAGGAGATATGAATTAATATTAAATAATAAATTTAAGCTATCTGATCTTGTATGCCAGCTGCTTCCTGCTCATCCCCCTGGGTGTCCCATTCACCAGGGCTCTGACCAAACTGTTTTTTAGTTTAGCACTCGTGTCCTTATTGGCAGGATAACCCTCTCAAATTTACCTAAGGAAGTCAGGTAGTCACTTACTGCTTACCCTCTGGTGGGGTCCAAATTCCTGTCCATTCTGCTGTGTGCCTCCCTTCTGTTCCTGTTGCTGTTTGTCTAGACTAGAGAGTAATGGTCACCTTTTGGGTTGCTGTAGATGTCTCTAAACTTACCCTCTGTGATTCCATTTCTTCTCTTAAAACTCGGCAGCAAAATTCACATTCCTTTGAATGGCTTTCAGCACTTAGGGTCAGTTTCTGCTTGTTTCTTGTACTTTCTGTTACCCTGTGGAGAGCACAATCTGCCCTGGCTAGCCTGCCTTGAGTTCTCATCCATATCTATGCCATTTTGCATAATTTTTTTTTTTTTAAGGTTTGCTTGGTAAAGTTGCCTTTTCCTGAGCCCTATTTTACTCAAGCAAAAAGGATGCTCTTAACTAGTATGATATTGTTTGCTGTACTCAGTGGTTCTTCCCAAGAAAGTCTTAGTTCCTGGAAGGCAGGGCTATGTCCTACTTAGTTTTGCTGCTGTTGTTATTGTTTGTTTGTTTGTTTGTTTGTTTGTTTTTCTGAGGCAGGGTCTCACTGACTAGCTCTGGCTGTCCTGGAACTCACTATGTAGAACAAGCTGGTCTTAAACTCAACAGAGATCTGCCTCTGCCTTCCAAGTGCTAGGGTTAAAGGTATGCACCATCATGCCTGGCTCTTAATTTGATGTGCCCAGTGCTGTCAAATAGTAGGCTTTCACATGTGTCTCTAGGGCCACTGGTAAAGAATTAGTGGATCTTTTTTTTTTTTTTTTTTTTAAGTTATTTGTCAGGTTGTGGTGGTACACACATTTGATCCCAGTAATCAGGAGGCAGAGGGATCTTTTGAGGTCAAGGTCAGCCTAAGTCTACAAAGTGAGTTCCAGGATAACCAGGGCTGTTACACAGACAAACCCTGTCTCAAAAAGAAAATATAAGTGTATGTGCTTGCATGAGCTTATATGCACCCTGTGGAGGCCAGAAGAAGGCATTGGATGCCCTGGAATTGTAGCTATGCCCACTTTTGAGCTGCCTGGATGATGGGAACTGAACCCAGGTCCTCTGGAAGAGCAGTAAACATTCAAGCCATCTCTCTAGCCCTGGTAAAGCTTTTTGTATTGTCTTGACAATTTTGCTAATGGTACTCTTACTCAGTTTGTAGGTCTAAAGCTAGCTGTGATTTAGTTTTCTTACGAAGAGGAAATGCTTGCTTAGTTACCCCTCTGACTCCCATAGGTGAACTCTTGTCCATCTCCTAGAAACTGTACTTTGACTCTTTTCAGAGTTGACATGATTTCCCTCTTGTTGAGCATGTCTTATGTTCAATTAGAGAGGTTTTGGTTATCAACAAGGTATTTTTGCCACTCTTGTACCCTTAGGGCTATTGTGCCATGCTGGTCATTGCTGTGGTTCAGAGCTGGGTAGGACTGTTGGTTGCTTTGCTCCTTTGGAACCTTGCATGGTGCCTTCTGGTACCCTGAAAGCCTGTCTTGAAGGAGAAGGCGTTTATTCAGTTCCAGCTCAGGGGTCTCTGGTACCTGTGTCTGAAGTACATGGTGTCTTCAACCATAGGGACTTACCTTCCACCTCTGTGGGACAAAGAAGAACAAATAATAGCTGTAATGTTTTAGGAGTTTCTTTGACAACCCTCATCAACAAGTCAAAAGAAGGCTTTTCATGTCTGGTGCTGGAGGTTTTGTTAGGTGATCTTTGTTTTGGCTCTTGGAGGGAACATTGTCAGCCCAGATGAGAAAATTTCATATAAATCATATTTGTAAAGAGACTTAGGTGTAGGATGGTTTTGTCTTTGTTTTATTAGCTAGTTAGTAGTAAAATCCCTTGTAACTTTGTTCAGACATCTTTATTGTTATTTTGCCCTCTTATTTTTCTTTTGTATTTATCTCCCTTCCTCTCCCTAATTAGGACTTCCTCATTTTGCTTACCCGTATTTTAATCTTGATCTTAATTTTAGTAATCTGACTTTCCCTTTTTACTCTAGGAGTGGTGATGTGTGTCTTTTTTAATCTCAGTACTCAGGAGGCAGAATCAGGTGATCTCTGAGTTCAAGGCCAGCTTGGTTTACATAGTAACTTCTAGGCTAGCTGGGGCTATATAGTGAGACTGTCTCCAAAAAAAGTGTTCAGTTCTAAATGCATGTTCTAACTTATCATAGGTATGTCTGGTTAAAAAATACTACTGTTGAATTATTAGAAAGCTCTAATATTAAAATGTCTCTCATTTATAATTTTATTCCTATTTATTTCAGGGATGGAGAAAGACATCATAGTCATAAAAGAAGAAAGCAAAAAGTATAAAAAGAATGTGACTGCAGTAATTACACTTATGAAATAAATATGTTGATGGTGTTTTTTTTCCCACATGAAACAATTTTGTTTATTGAAACTAAAGACAAGCATGATGTCTAATGTCTTCACCAAATTACATGAATTGGGTTTTCTTTTCCATGAGTTCTTCCCTGTTACCTGATATCAAGATGATACAAAAACGATGTAAAATATGTATAGGGTTAGGGATATGGATGAGCAAAATTATGACAAGTTCATTGCCGGGACCTAGGTCAGGGTTTTGAGAACTTTCTATAGTTCCTGCTGTAGGGATACTCAAGGGTCTAACCTTCTTGGGAACAAGCATGAACAGTCACAAACCTACACACTGACATCACATAATTAAATCAAATCTTTAACCAAGCAGATTTCCACACGTGAATATTTTCTCTTATAAGCAATCATTCTATAACCCAGATGTTGAGTCTTAACAGTTTTCCTTCATCGTGAATTGGTTTGCATAACGGAAAGCAAGCATGTAGGATTGGATTTAGAGAAATCAATCAATCTGAATGAGGTGTCTTTTTTTTATGTAATTAACGAAAAGTGTGAAATCAAAAAAGGGTTCCCTTATCAGTGAATTCATAAGACTTTTGTCCACGTGAGTTTGCAGTTGCAAACAGAACAGAGACCTTATAATGTTTGAACAGATTCTCGACACTTGTCATATTTTTCTTTCCAGAATCTTGTATAACACAGTGTGTGTTGGCTGAAGATCTCACCAAATCCTTTCTAGTAAGATTCCCTTCAGTATGAATTTTCTCAGGCCCTCAAAGATTATTGTGATATGCAAGGTGCACAACTTTACCACACTGCTTACATGTATAGGGTTTCTCTGCCATATTGATTTTTTTTTTTTTTTTTTTTTTTTTTTTTTTGATGGTTGTAAAGATTTATGGTACCTACAAAGGCTTTACCAGGGTCTTTTCCTGGTAAAGATTGATGGTTATATTCACAGGGTCTCTCAAGTGTGTGTTCTTTTATGAATTAAGAGTACTGTGACATGAAAAGGCTTTACCACATTGATTACATTCATAGGGTCTCTCTTTCCAGTATGTGCTCTTTCATAAAAATTGGAAACTACGGACATATGCAAATGCTTTATCACATTGATTACTTTCATAAGTTCCCCCCCAGTACGTGTTCTTATGTCTTTGAAGCTGACCATGACTTGCAAAAGCTTTACCACATTGGTTATATTCATAGGATTTCTCTCCAGTATGTGTACTTTTATGATATTGGAGACTACAGACCTGTGAAAAGACTTTAGCACTATGATTAAATTTGTAGGGATTAAATTTGTAGGGTTTCTCTCCAGTATGTGTTCTTATATGGAGTTGGTGTCAACTGTGACATGCAAAGACTTCACCATACTGAAGACTTTCATATGGTTTCTCTCCAGTATGAATTTTTTCATGCCTTTGAAGATGACTTCTATGTCTTCTAGAACATTGACAGTGTTCAATATTGTGGTCTTCTAAACTGTAGCCTGAAATATAATATTATAGCAGTGATTTTCCTGTAGGTGTCCAGCATCACATCTTTGTAGAGACTTCTGGGAAGGATTCATTCAGTAAAGCCCACTCTTCTTGAGTGAATTTGATTTGCACATTGTCATAGGTCACTCCATTCTATAATAGCCATGTTGTGGTTTTCCAGCTCACCCTTGCTCATGGCACAGTACACAAAGCCACTGGTGCCAGTTTCTCTTTAAAACCCGATGTTTTAATTATAATCTTTGCATAGGAGAGAAGGGCTGTTATGATCATGTAATACTCGTTATTTTAATGTTTCAAACCATGAATCAAAATTGTACCTTACACGTGTACATTTTCCTTAATATTTTAATATATTCTTATTACTATTTGTTTCATTGTTTCAGTAATTTATTGGTTTTCTTTTTACAAGTCAGTACTTCAAATGGGTAAATTATACATGGAAACACTCTCATTGTAAAAAGTGGAGGGTGAGGCTAGATTCTACCCTAGCAGTGACTACTATGTATCACTCCACTGGAGAGTTGTAATAGAGGAACACAATTTAATTGGCTTTCTGAATGGGGAATGGCCTGGCTAAGTAAACTATGGTGTAATCAGTCATAGGTTAAATTACTGTATTAGCTTTAAAAGAAATAACCTTGATCTGTGTTCACATGGATAGATCTTTAAAATGTAATGCTAAGGGGGAATAGCAAATGGTAGGTATACTTAAGTTAGCATTAGATCCATATGCAAAACAATACTATGCATTTCTTGTGTGTGTGTGTATCAGGGATAAATAAGAATCTGGAAAACAATAGGCTGATGGATGTTTTGGGGGAGAAATCACTTACACCAGAAACAGATGACTGCCACAGGTTCCCGTCCCAAGGATGCCTCCAGATGCTCTTTGTCTCCGACCAGAAGCAAGAGAGTGAGCTGGGGTCCCAGACCCCAGACCTAGTCCCCCCCCAGGTCACACCTGCACCAGTCCCCACACCCCAATGGGCGTGGTCAGTGCAACAGGTATGGATGGGTTGGATATCTTACTGTGTGTATCCATATATGGTTATATTTTAAAGGTTTATTAGAGACCATTCCAAATTCCTAATTTTATGTGAAAAAGGATGTAGAAGAAATTGGGGTAGATAACAGGATTGGGAGGTTGGTCAAAGGAGTCTTGAGCTTGTCAATAATATATATTTATGTTGCATTTGGTAATTAAAAATTGCTATCATTTTGTATCTTGTTTGAAGTACTGTGCTCATTTTCAATACATTTCATCAAATGACTGGTGTGTCTGTACAAGCACCATAAGGTGTAGACTGTTCTGCCTCCAGACATGTCCCTCCCTATAGTCCTGTGCTAACGGAGCAGCCAGAGCTTTGCTTTTTTGTTACCATTGACTGGGTTTCTCTTTCCCATGGCTCTTGGCATTTGGAATGCCTCAGTATGAACTCTGCCTTCTTTGACACAGGGGTGTTTTGTGTGTGTGTGTTTTTTTTTTTTTTTTGTCTTTGAGCCCAGGTTGGTTCAGAATTTGAATTCTTGTGTCAGTCTTCCAAGTGCTGGGATTATAGGCTTGGTGACTTCACATTTTTGGTATTGACTTGTGTATGTTGGTAGCAAATTCCTTTTTATTGATGGATACTATGTTCTATTTTATCTAGAATAATTTTGACCAGAGTGACTCTGGTTTCATACATAATAAGAGATGGGCTCAGCTTTGCTCTTTGTTTTTCTAATATATGCTTGTATTTTAAGCTGGCCTTAAACTCAGTTGTGGTTCTTATGCCTTAGCTCACTAAGTGTTGGGACTATAGCTGTGCACCGCCACACACACTGTTCTTTATAAGTTAGTGATAACTGGTCACTTTCTGATATGTAGTTCCATTGAACCAAATTTATGGAATTCAGGTTTCAGAGCACCCTCTCCCTTCTTCATGGTACTGGCTTTTAACCTAGGGCCTTGTATGTGCTAAGCATGTGTCCTACCACTGTGCTCAGAACCTCAAAACCCCAGGTTGGGGAGATGCTTAGTCCTCGCCGTGTTCCATCCCCAGAACCCACGGTTTATAATCCCAGCTCTAGGAAAGTTGAGATAGGTGAATCCCTGGGCTTTGCTGGCCTGCCAGCCTCGCTCACATGGTGAGTTCCATATTCACAGAGAGACTGAACAAAACACAAGGTGGATGTTGCTTGGAGATTGGCCTCTGGCCTCCACATGCATGTACAGAGATGTGAAAGTACATCTACACACAAAACCACAGTACCTAAGAATTACAGTAATAATCATATAGAATTGCTCTTGTGAGTCAAAACCTTACAAATTATTAGTAGTTTCACATTGTATGTTCAACTTACAATTTTGTTTTAAATTATGATTTCTACCAACGAAGACAAACTGAAAAGTAAGACTGGATAGCTTATTTAGATATTTTATAGACCAAATAAATGAAAAGGAGTAGTGTAGAAGAAATGGGGACAAGTAGGACAGGATGGAGAAAGGAAAAGGGCTAAGATGTAGGTAAAGTTCCTTACAGATGTTTAAGTGTTTAATCTGCTGGTGTGCAGTAGGTGAGTTGAGAACAAGAGGCCCTTGGGCCAGTTCCCATACTGTTTGTGCTTCTAACCGCGGCACTGTGTGCACCTCTAGAGCAAAGCTTCTACAACTGTAGCTCCCATGCCTGACTTTCAGCAGCTCTAATTTGTTATTTAAATCCGACAGAAACGCCTTTACACCTGCATTTTACAGTTATTATTGTTTTATGAATTGTTGCTGTTAGTCATTACTATATCTGCCCTTCCCCCTTTTGTTCATATTGTGATCAAATGCAGGGTTTTATTGACACATACACCAGGCAAATGTTTTACCACCAGTTGACATCCAGCATTTTTATTGTTTTAAAGACAGTCTCACTATGTGGCCCAGGCTAGCATCAGATTCACAGTTCTGGAATGCCTTTGCTTTCTCTGATACCTAAAGAATGGCCTGTTACAGTTATTAATTTAAAAGATTGTTTCTTCACTATACCTTTACAAGGATAAGGAAAAATTTGCCTTCATGGTGCCTACTTAGAATAATTCTCAGCCAGTCAAGAGATATTGATGGAAGGTCTTGCTGCAGGGAATGTTAAATAGCCCCACCCTGTGCCAATATTTTGTGTAAAAACCATTGGAAATAATTCATAAACAGTTTCCACAATCTATAGTTTACCATTATATGGATGATATATATGATAATATATATTGTTGGCTGATTCTAAGGCAGAGATGTTAGAAAAAAATGTTTGAGGAAGTTTACCTTGCTGGAGATTACAAATTGCCCCCCCCAAAAAAATACAAAGAGAAGATTCTATCAATTACTTAGGGTATAAAATAGGTCTACAGAAAATTAGACCACAAAAAGTACAGATCAGGAGGGATCAATACCAGACTCTTAATGATCTTCAAAAATTGCTTGGAGAGATTCCAGCTATAGACTATTATTGGAGTAGAGAGGCATGAGCTAAAAAACTTGAAAAAGATCCTAAAAGGGGACAAGGACTTAAATAGTCCAAGAATGTTATCAGCTAAAGCTAAAAAGATTAAATGGGTAGAAGAAAAGAATACTAGAGGCACATGTGGATCCAAAGCTTGACTGCATTCTGGTTATATTACCATCTAGGGAATACCCTTCAGGGATTTTGATGTAGAGAGAAGATATATTAGAATGGATATTTCTACCGCATAAATAGAATAAAAAACTAAAAACATATAGAAAAGATTTCTGACTTGATTTTAAATGGAAAATTAAGACTTTGTCAACTGACAGGAATGGATCCAGCAGAAATTATAGTACCTTTAACTAATGAGGAAATTTCTTCCTTATGGGAAGATAATGAA